TGAAGTAAATAAGGAAAAAAGAAAAGAAAATTCATACCTAATTTTATTTATAGCGTTGATTATTACTATATTAAAATTGGGAATAAAAAGAAAAAAGATCGAAATTTCAAAATTTTCAAGAAAAAGAAAACTAAATTTAACTAAAATTAAAATTTTGGGAAGTTTTTTTTAAATTTTCATTTCAAAATTTCTAAAAAACCAACATTTTTCTCGAAAATTAAACGAAGATGTTTGTGAATAATACGCATTTCAGGTGTGATATGTTCCGCCAAACGATGCCGTTCTTCATAATCCTTCCATTGTTGTTCCGTAAATTTATGAAACTAAATTTGAATGTTTTGATAAGTTATCTCATTTACATTGATAAATTATCTTTGTTATATTTGATAAATTATCTTATTGTATAGTTTTTAAGAATAAGTTATCTTATTGTATTTGATAAATTATCTTATTGTACAGTTTTTGAGAATAAGTTATCTTATTGTATTTGATGAATTACCATATTTGTGCAGTTTTTGAGAATAAGTTATCTTATTGTATTTGATAAATTATCTTATTGTATTTGCAAATCAACCGTAATTTCTATGTTCTTGTAATACTTACAAGAAGTGAGATGATCCATATACAAGAATATTTTCTTTATTGTATCAATATTTCATAATGTTCATTGTTTTACTGTTATTGTTTATTGTATCTTTTTGAAAAAAAAAAAAAAACTTACATCATCAATTTTCCTATTTTCACGAATAAATGTTTCCGGAAAAACTTTTTTCAACCAACTTGCACGAATTGGATTTAAATTACATATAGTTACAGCAGGGAAGATAATATTTGTCATATGACGTATTTGAATAGATACAACCGTTTGATATTGATAATACTTATCAATAGATATCCAAATTTGATAAGTACAAATAATCCTAAAAATAATTTGATGCAAAATTTTATCATTCATTATATGGTAAATTATGTAATTGTTAATAATTTTATGTAAAATTTTACTTTTTATTTTCTAAATAAATTTTTCCATTTCAAAAATAATTAATAATTAACTAATTAACTAACCATGCTAATAGTATAGCAATAATCCAAAAAAATCGCATGAATGCATTTTGTGATTTACTAGCTAAAATGCAACCATGCGCTGATGTCCGTTCAGCAAAATCATCCAAAATACGTTTACGTTTATCACTTACAAATAATTCGGTGATATATCTTTGTGACATTATTAATAATGCAATTGTCCTATGTAAACTATGGAATGAAATTGATGATGACATTATGCAAAATTTATCACTTCATTTCTCATCTCTTTTTTTTATTTTGTTTATTTTTGAAGCAATAAATTGCAAATAAAATTGCTGTTTTATTGAAATATCTCACAATTTATGTCAATATGACAATTAATGAATAACTAAAACAGAATATAATTACAGTATATTGTAGAGTAGACTGATAATAAATGGAGTAAGAGTAATTGTGGATAGAGTAAGACTGATAATGGATGGAATAAGGGTGACAATAGATAGAATAATTCTGATGAGGGATGGAAAAAGAATGATAATAAAATGGAGTAGGGCTGATATTTGATGCAGTAAGGATGATAATGAATTGAGTAAGGCTGATAATTGGTGAAGTAAGAATGATAATGGATATAGAGTAAGGTTGATAGTGGATGGAGTGAGAGTAATAATAATAAATAAAATAAGGCTGATAAAGGGTAGGGTAAGAGTGATAATGGATAGAGCAAGACTGATAATGGATAGTGTAAGATGGATAGTGTAAGACTGATAATGGATGGAATAAAAGTTATAATGGTTAGGTCTGTGTCATTGTATATGCTATGAATGTGTAATGTCCAAGCTAAACAAACTAATAATTTTTAACCAATCATTGATATCAGGTCATGAAATTATGATTAACTGATTAAGATAACCAGTATCAGATTATATCTTTTGGATGGAAACAAAGAGTAATTTTGATTATTAAACATTTCATTTACACATTAATATAATCATTTATTCAGATTTTATCAATTTAAAATCTGTAAATGTTTCGTAAATTAAATTTACGTTAATAGTAGCATAGGAAAAGTAAACAAAAAATCAATAAATAAACAACATGAATAGTAATTTATTTTTTTTAAAAAAAATTGTCAATTTTAAAAAATTCAAAAATTTTCATCAATAAATCGATGAATGACTACAATCACAAATGTCAGACAAGAAATTACATTTTAAATAACATTTCCAGAAATTGCGATTGGATGCATTCTTCGTGGAAAGGTTGAAATTTCATTAAATAAATGCCAATTTATTAATTAGAAAGCAATTACTGTAATGGTTCGAAATGGAAAAATATTAATTATCAAAAAAAGTCATTGGGAGAATTTTTTTTTCCATCTATTATTATTTACTAAATAATTTCAGTAAGTAAATCAATAATTGTCCTGCGAAGAATTTTTCCTGTAAATACTAAGTTAATTAAAAATTAATTATACTTTATTAAAGTTATTAAATAATTTTGTAAAAAATCAAAAAAAAAAGAAAGAAAGAATTTCTACCAAATTACGACAAATTAAAAATGAATTTAAATAAAATATTAAAATAAAACGTTAAATCAAAAAAAAAAATCATAAATGATCGAAAATGAAAATTCTTTCATTTTCAAATTGCACGAATATCATTTATTATTTCAGTTTCATAAATGATTATCAATTATCAATTCCAATTAATCAGTTCATTTCTGTGTAATATTAATCATGTAATTTGAAATTATTTATTTGCTTTTCTTTTTATCCGTATAAATTCTTATTTTTTTCTTTTTAATCATTAAATATATTTGATTTTTTTTTTGATCTTCGAATTAGGATCGAATAACAATCTTTGAACTTGCTCGATTTTTTACTTTTAAATCTAAGATCAAATGAGAAATTTAACCTTTGAACTTACCTGATCTTTTTTAACATTTGGATTAAAATTGAATAATTTCAACCTTTGAACTTTGCTTGATTTTTTTTTAGCTTTCAAGTTTTGAGATTAAATAACTTTCATTACGTGAAATATTTGTTAAAATTGAATAGAATAAATTTATTACTAAACGCACTAATGTATGCGTGCATGTTGCACTCACATGTATACTAATGCATGCAATGCACCAATGCATGCATGCATGTTTATTTCGTTATTATATTTCTAACAATTAACAATAATGCCTAACACTCCCGTAATGAAACTTCAATTAATAAAGTGCTTTATAATGAAATCCAGTTTTTTCTTTCTTTCTTTGAATACAATCTTTTATTACTGTACTACAGTACATCTCAAAAAGATATACTTGTATACTGGTGATTAAATTGTGAAAAAAGAAAAAAAAGAATTTCAACCAAACATTTGATTGTCTAGCATGACAAAATGAATAATGATCGATACAGTAATGATACGATAGAAATACGATATATGAAGAAGAAGAATGATAATTTTGCATTTCCGAAAATATTTTTGTTAACATTAGATATCTTTCATTTAATGCGACAAATATCTGATTACCTAATATGACAGAATGAATTGATACAGTAATGATACGATAGAAATATGATATATGAAGAAGCTTAAACATTAGCTATCTTTCATTTACTGTAGCTTTCAAAATTTCCAACTAAGATTATCTTTGCAATGATTATAATTTCTTATTGATTATTAAACTTGCTTGTTACTTTTTTCAACCTTCGAATTATAATTCAATAACTTCTCT